TGTGATGCCAGCAGAGTCCCTTAGCACCCTGAGAACAGTGTCTGCCTAACCTTTTTATGTTCTGAATGGCTGTAGTCTGCCAGGTACACATTCTTGTTATCCAGAGATACCCTCCCCCATATCCACTGTATCCAGAGCCAGAGCTTCAGTTAGTGAGGCATAAGTAGCCAGGGAAAATCACCTGTACACACTTTTATTTTGGTCCTTATTCCCTTAACAGCAGAATATAGCAACTACTTCTATGACATATGTCTTCTAGAAGGTGTGTTGTGGGCAGTCCAGAGCTGATTTAAATTGTGTGAGAGGAGAATCATGGGTTTTCGGCAAATAAAATGTCATCTTATAGAGAGGTGGGCTCTGGTACCTACAAAAGGCTGTATAACTGGTGCAGAGGCGGGGCGGTGACTATATTCTATATACTTCTCCACCTCTATATCTGCTTTAGACTAGTTTTCCCTGAGGACTGCAGAATCCTGGGTTCTGTGAGATGCTGGCTGCTCCCTCTCTGCACCTCACGGGTCTCCTCACCCTCCTGGGCTTTCCTCTCATCCCAGCCCTCTCCTGCCCTTTGCTCTGATCTCACACACCTCCGGTGGCACCCAGAGATTCACGTCTGCTCATTTTTCTGCTGTCTCGTGGCTCGTGGGCCCCATCCCTCCCACACTCCTATCTCCTGAGCCCCCAACATCCCGAGAGCACACAGCACACCCTACCATTATCTGCCTCATCCTTTCCGTCAGATTTTGTTTTTAACAGAACCGCCTCCTTCCTTCCCCGATGTAATTACCTTCCCACTTGCTTTTCAGCCCTCTCACTGAAGGAGCTTGGTAAAGGATCTATCATCAGTGAACAATCCTAGCCCCTTCTGCCAGCAGCCCGCTTCCTAAGGAGTTCCTGAAGTGGCTTCCCTCCCTCTCTTGGCCCCTGTAGTTCCCCCAGACCTTGGAAGAATCAGTGGGTCTCACTGCATAGCTGAGGCTGGCCTTGGATTTGAGATCCTCCTGTCCCACCGTCCTGAATACTAGAAGTACCTGAAGTGCTATGTGGCTGTGTTCTGCGCTGTGCACCCCTCATTGTGAAGGCAGATTGTTCATCCAATCGGCCTGGGTTTGGGAGCCCACTCTAGTCCAGCTTTTACATGGCCAGATGTGGTCCCCCCCATCATGGTACCTAGAGTCCAGAGGCAGGACAGGCAGTAATCAAAGATGCCATGGATGGTTCCACATTGATCTGAGGTTTGAGAGAGTAAAATGGGCAGTGCTGCTGGCCTTGACAACACCTAATGTTTGTAGACCAGGACACTCAGCTTGCCTACCCTGCCCTAGGCATGGCAGTCATGGTGCTTCTTGGCTCCTTCATCATCCTCTTCCCTTCCTGAGCTCAGGCAGAGATCCCAGTGCCCTCTGTCTGTGGTGCAGCCCTGAGTTTCCTTTTAACCCAGAAGATAGAAATCCTTGCACTGGGTAACCCGTGAGTAACTTCTATTAGCATGAATGTAGACTGGGGATCAGAAGACCAGTCTGTTCCGTGCAGAGCCTTGGGAGCAGGACTAACTTGCCCCCCTTTGTTTGCTCTCCTTAGGATAACCCTGACGCCTTCCTCTCAGTTGTGGACACAGACTGGAAGGTAGGTTGGGGTTCAGCCTCTCAAATATGGGACCCATATCTGTCTGGACCTCTTTCCCACTGGGCTGGGTCGTAGAGGCGAGTAATAGCCTGTCTGTGTGTCCCAGTCTCTGGTGGCAAGGGCAGGCCACCTCATGGCCTGATGACCACCCCCCACGGCTCACAGCAGCTCCCCCCTGCCCAGTGAAGGAGTTAAACCCTCTGTGAACAGGACAATTGGGAAGGAGGCAGAGGCCTCCGGCAGTGAGTGTGCAGAAGGGAGCAAGGGATGCTGTCATCTGAATCAGCAGTTTTCCTCCGGTGAAAGCTAAGTTGACTGTGAAATAACTCTTGTTTCCATAGCAGCTGTTGCCTGGGCAACCATGTCCTCTTTAGTTTGATGCCAAAGGTACCATGAAAATGGAGCTCACTCTTTTGTTTTTATTCCTTCGCATGATGATTCTGCTCACTTGGCCAGCTGTTTCTCTCCTGAACCCCCTAGGAACATACTTCCTGGTCCCAGAATATGTCTAACAGCAAGCATAGGATGGAGAGGGAAACGGGGTTATAGGCGTCTCAGACTTCACTGGCCATCCAAGTGGGACCAACCCCCTCCTCCCTGCTGGATGGAAGTCACCTCCAGGCCACTCCTTTTCTCCATTTGACCTCTATTTGGATCCGTCTCCATGGAAGTCTTGTGGTCTGGATGCCGGGGGCGGTGCTCCCTGATGACTCCTCCCCCCGCAAAGCAGTTAGCCAGCAAGAGTGAGGATCTGGGCCTCTGTGTCGCTCTCTTGGTCATGTGCCTCTTCAAGGACACAAAGGGAAGCAAAGGGAAGTGCTAGGCAGACCATACACTCATGCCCACATCCTCTGGGATCACAGGCCGCAGCTGACGGGAAAGTATAGGATTCAGCAGTGGAGGGTTCACCAGAGCCCCTGAGAAGGATTGGGAGTATCCAGAAACCACAGCAGGCCCTGTCCTGGGGGTCTCTGTCCTTGTGTTCCAAGTGAGAGTGGGGGTGAGGAAGGGGTGAGTAGATAAGCCTTGGGCAACCATTGCAACTATGGATGGTGGGAGCCTGGTTCTTAAGACCCCTTGCTTGGTGAAGGGCAGCATGTTCTAAAGGAATCCTCCTGTCACTCCAGGAACACTGCATTGGGAGGGGTTTTGTTCAGTTTTCCTTTTTACAGAAAAGCAGCCACGAAAGATGGCTGTTACCTGGGCCACAGCCGGGGCCTCTCAGTGGCAGGCAGTGTCACTGTCTCTGGCCTTAGAAAGTCAGCTGCAGGTGAAAGAAGCAAAACAGAGAAACTAGAAAATACAGGAGACCACAGTCCAGGTCCAGGGGTGTCCACCCTACCCCCGCCACGCTGCTCCCAGACTGCTCATCTTGTATGGTGAAGCAAGTGGCTCAGAGTGTTTGCGAGGGGACGTTGTCCAAGAGTCCAGTGCTCAGACACCCCCAGTGACCATGACAAGGCCCAGCCAGCCACAGCACACAGCTATAGTAGACAGCCTGATGTGGATCCTGGTGCTGTGGCTTCTAGCTGTGAGGTAGGGCAGCTTGCTACGTGTCTGAAAAATTGGGGTGCTCAGTGAGAAAATGCACTCAGGTAGGGTCTAGCCTGCGGGCATCCTAACACCAGCGTCTGTTCCCTGGGGTTGCGCCCTGGGTCTGGACTGCTGAGATGGGTGTAAGCACCACTGCTCTCTCGCTCTCACCTCTGGGCCTCAGGCTCCTGGTGCTTTCTCTCAGGCTTCTGTGTCTCAGAAGCAAAGATAAAAACCCTGCCCCCAGGACTCTTCAGATAGCTGGCTGGGCAGCAGGCCTGGCCTCGGGTCTGAGGGTTTGCAGCCAATGAGCTGAGCAGAGACAGGTAGTGTGGAAGAGGCCAGTGTTGGGCCGTCATATTCCTTTGGAGCCAGAGAAGGGGAAACCCCTCAGTTGGTAGTCAAGGAGTGAGTATGGGTTGGTCAGGGGCCACAGGGAATGGGAGTTGGTGGCAGGACCTTTTCCCTTGAGAGACTCATGGGAGGTCTTTGGGGGCAGAGCAGGACAGGAGGGCCAGGGACACACTGTTCCATGAGTCCGTTTGGGAGTGGTCTGGTCAGGCATGGCACAGAGAAAGCTGTCGGTATCCAAGACAGAGGCTGTTACTAGGACTGGTGCACGTGACCACTGCAAGTCAGGTCACGTGACTGTTGCAAAGCAGGTCAGCAGGCACCTGGGTGGGGAGCCGGCCACCTTCCCATGGGACCCACCAGGGTGCAGGATGGTAAAGACCAGAAGTACAGTCTTCTTCCAAGAAGACAATGGGGGCACAGACACCCAGCTCCCACCGTGTTCCCTGTCACTCATGTTCTCTTAGAGGGGCTTCCTCCTCTGTCACCTCCCTAGCCTACTTCCTTTCCTCACCTCCCTTTGGCTTCCTGCTCCTCTGTATCCCCTCTCTGTGTGCCTCAGACCAGCTTTCACCTGGAGCCTCACTACCCAGGTAGATACGTCATGTAGACTTGGGGGGGTCTTCTCCAGAGACTTCGGAGCTGGACTCCATACTAACTGGCTTCAGAACACAGGACTGGTTGCAGTGGGTGTATGGGATGCAAGCATGTCACACTCCTGTAGGGGGTCCCTCCTTCCCCCCTACAGGAGTGTGAGGTCAGGGAGGGCCCGGCCCTCCTGCTCTTCTGCTCCTGCAGTCTGCCCAGCCCTCCAGACCCGTAAACTCCACTTTCAGGGCTGTGTGCCAGCCCTGGGCATCCATATAGGTAGGGTGGGCGAAGGCCAGGGGGAGAGACAGTCCAGTAGCTGTCCTCAAGGGCATTTAAGTGACCTAGGCTGTCATCTTGCTGGGATGGGTACGCTTGGGAGTCAGGACTCCAGAGACTGGGGCTAGGGCCCTCCCAAGACCTCGGTGCTTCCAGGGGAATAGAGCCAAGTGCTGGGGCAATTCTGTATGTCCAGCTTCTCCGGTCTAGCCCTGCATTAGTATACATAACGGTGAGAGAGGCGCCTCTCTGTGCATTTGTGCTTGATGCAGGGGTACCTGTGTGGCCCTAGCAGCTGCTTCCCGGGAGCCACAATACAGGTGTACCTGATGGACGGTGCCAGGGTGTTAAGCACCCTCGAGCGGCTGGGGCTGGGAACCGTCAGGATGCTGTGCGGCTAGGATGGGAGGGGCTAAAGTGAGGCAGGGTGACCGAGAACCTCAGAAGCCAATTGGAGCCAGGTTTGTCTCCTAACAGCCAATGTGGGAGCGAGGGCTCCGAGTGAGCAAGTAGCAGCTCAGAAACCTTTTAGAGGGGAGGGACCGGCCTGGGCAGGGCCGGGATCTGTGTATAAAATCACCGGAGCTCTGCCCCACCACAGAGCTGAAGTCTCCCACCCAAGCCTCCCTCGAGACGGAGTGACTTGGGTTTTTGTTTGCCCTTTCTGGTTCAGCAAATACCCTTCCTCGGCAAGATGCCGGAGTGCTGGGATGGGGTGAGTCCAGGGTCCGCTTCGGGATGGGCAGGGAGGCTGGGGCATCCTTGTGACCTACAGAGGACAAGGTGTCCTCCTGCTCCGTGGGGTAACGAGTCTGCTAGGATGCCTGTCTTTCCTGGTCTATTCAGCCCCTGGGTGGAGGGCCGGATAAGATGGTTGGTGTCTGGGAAATGCAGTGAACATAGTGACCTCTTTGCTAGCCTGCGTTCTCTGCCTCACATGAGAATGGTGTCTGCCTAATTGCTTGGGGTCACTTCAGCCTGGTGTGCCCTCTGTGAGCCCCTGGCATGTTCTAGCATCTGTCAGGGTTGTGCCTGCAGGGTCTGTCTGTGGGAGATTGTCTTGATGCTGGATCACTGCAGCAGGGTATCATGTCTTCATAAGGAGCTGCTTGTGTGTCTGTCCCCAGTGTTCTGCAGTGCCAGGCTGGGAGTCTCCGTCTTCAGAAGAGTCAAGGAAAGGCTATGCTGTTTCTTTTACCGGGTGGGGAAGACAGGGCTGGGGCACTGAGCTGGCAGGGCGTGGGGCCCCAAGATACCTCCTCTTGCCATGGGGGAGGAGCAACAGCTCCCCAAGCCCCGTGTTCTTCATCAAGGAGGGAGATGCGAGGGCAGATTTGCCCTGCCTGCATCCCAGGCCCCACATCACTCATCCCTCCTTTTCTTGCCCGGTCCTCAGCTACCCCTACCCTCCCAGGCAGACCTTGTCTCCTGAATTACCCAGGAATCCGCTGAATACAAATCCTACCACAGCCACCACCATGGTGTGTCAGAGCCCTGTTCTGACCCTCTTCTCCCCAGCCCTCAAGGTCACTGCTGAGGAGAGAGACTGAAAGGGGACGTCAAAGCCCCCTCCCTCGACGCCTGCCGCAATGCATCCCTCTAGCGCCCACCTGGGGGGCGGGGCTCTGACGTCACCAGGAGCCAATGGGAGCACTTTACCCCGGCAGTGGAGGGGCTGACAGTCTGCTGGGCTGTGGCCCTTGAGGCATGTGCCCTCACTAGTCAGCATCCTGAGGGGTAGGGATACTCAACTTCTGTCTGACAAGCTAGGTCTGAGTTATCCGCCCAGGGTCGGGAGGGTGGGGTGTTAGAGAAGTTGCTGGAAACATTCAATCAAGGTCACTAGGCCTCAGGACAAGAAATTTGGTTGTCATCCCTCCCTTAGCTCTCCATGACCTTACCAAAGCCAGCGCTTCTCCACCAGAGAAGTGAGCTTTACTTAGCAAGGCCAGTGCTTTGACCGATGGCATCTGACTAGGGATAAGGAGTTGGGCATCATGTCAGGGTAGGGAAGGTTCCACAGACCACTTGACAGCAGAGAGCAGACACTCCTCACGCACCCAGAGGGTAGAGGTCTGATTTTGGAGAGTCCCTAGGTCCCTGTGTCCTTGTAGAGCAAGAACAAGAGAACAGTAAAGAAACCATAGCAGGGACCCCAGAGAAGAAAAGCAGCCGGCTGGAGTAAGGGTGGCCTGCTTAGGAGGTAGGTCCTATGGGTGGACCTGAGCCTCCCCTCAGAAAATGCTTCTGTTGGGGCAGAGCCAAGGCCCCGAGCTGGCGTCTCATCAACCCTGGGTTCGACCTTGGGTGAGTCTCTTAGCCTTTGTGGGCCTGTGTCTTCCTGTAGAGCCAACTATAGAAGGCTGGGGTCCATTCAGGAATAAATGAGGTATCAGACTCCAGTGAACAGGAAGCTTTTCTTGGTCAATCGGGTCCTGAGGGAGGACAGGCCTGGGAGGCTGGGTCGGGCCTGGACCTAACTGAAGACCACAGGAAGATGCTCAGGCCTCCCAGCAGAATGTGCATCCCAGGGTGTGGCCTCATGGGGACCTCGATACTTTATCATTTCCTTCTGGAAACACAGTGTGAACACTGCACCTGTCTTACCACACCCTGAAAGCCAGTCTGTGGGAAGCTGGGTTTTCCGAAGCTAGTGCCCTTGTCTACAAAATGGAGTCTTGGTTCCCTCTGTCTTGTGTGGCATATAGGAAGCTTGGCACACCGTCAGTCTTCAGTCACTTGTCCTTTCTCTCCTGGTGGCAACTGCAACCCCAGCTCCAGCTCTGGAACACTGGCAATGAAAGACACTAGGACCCCTGCGGTAGAAGGAAGGGTATATTCAACTCTGACCAAGCTGTTGGAGTTTCCTGATTGGCTGCCCAGGAATGATTTGTTTGCAAAGAAGCCAATCAGCAGGGTGTCCCCTCAAGGTTCTGGGGTGCCAGGTGCAGCAGCCCCTCCTCTGGGCCTTGTCTACATACCACAGATCCCACAAAGCCCCTGTGAGGATTTGAGAAGTTGCCCACCCTGCTCAAAGTCACACAGAACCAGGTGCTCCTGAAGGACTAGACCTGAGCAACAAAGTCAGAGGCACTGGCTTAGGACCTGGGAGTAAGGACTGCAGAAGACCTTGGGGACAGGTGTGTCTAGCCCTGTCCTCCTGAGGAAGGCCGTGGAGATTTGCACCAGAGGGCAGGGAATTTGTGAGAGCAGCAGTGAGGACCAGTGTGTGAGTTAGGAGCAGGATATGGCTAACATGGAAGTGTTTGCTGTGGTTTCTAGGCATGGCAGAGGCCATTCTGCAGGAAGGGAGCACACCTTGTAGGTTGGTAGTGGGGGTGGGGCATGGGCAGCAGTGGCAGAGTCCTCTTGGGAGGGCTCCGTGACATGGAGAATGGCCTCCTAGGACCCTGCAGTAGGCTGGAGGCAGAGCAGGAGCTAGGCAGTGGCAGGTGGGTTTGTAGAGAGGATCAGGACTTTGTCCCTGTGCTGAACACCTCTGAGAGCAAGGTTCCATTAATTGTCCTCTATGGGGGTGACTTAAGGTGATCTAACAAAGACACCTTGGCTAGGGCCTCCACCACCTCATTCTCCAAAAACCAGAGTGTCCAGTGCCATCTGTCTCCTCCAGGAACATGACATCGAGACGCCTTATGGCCTTCTGCATGTGGTGATCCGGGGCTCTCCCAAAGGGAACCGTCCAGCCATCCTCACCTATCATGACGTGGGTCTCAACCGTAAGTGTAGCTGCGACTCGATCCTGCCTGCTCCTGCCTTGAATTCCGTAGCATCGAGTCTCCGTGTGTGGTCCTGAAGATCTCAGTTCCCACTCCCCTCTGTGACTTAGCCTCTGGCCTGAGATTCCCATTGGCCCATCCAGCCTGCCTTACCTGCCTGCCAGCCCACAGGGCCCCCAGCATCCTTGGTGCCTGTCCTCTAGTTTTGACCTCTTAAGAGGTGTGTCTTTGCAGACAAGCTGTGCTTCAACACCTTCTTCAACTTTGAGGACATGCAGGAGATCACCAAACACTTTGTGGTGTGCCATGTGGATGCCCCCGGGCAGCAGGTGGGAGCGTCACAGTTCCCTCAGGGGTAGGTGTCCCCAGAGTCTTTTCACTTGTTCCAACCCTGTACCCTCACTGTACCCAGGTCCTGAACTTCCCCTCTGCCTACAGGTACCAGTTCCCCTCCATGGAGCAGCTGGCTGCCATGCTCCCGAGTGTGGTACAGCACTTCGGGTAAGTCCCCCCTAGCCCCTGGCTCTGGGCTGTAGGATAGCAGGTGCCCATATCACTGACTGACTTTGGCTGGGGGCTGGGGATGGTGGGCGAGATGTGCTCTAGCTGAGTTTCATGGCAAATGACATCACAGCCATAGAGTGACCAGCCCTGCTCTACCACAGGTTCAAGTACGTGATTGGTATTGGAGTGGGAGCCGGAGCCTACGTGTTGGCCAAGTTTGCAGTGAGTTTCCCCACCCTCAGAACCCCAGGCCAGGCCTAGAGGGTGACCCTTGGGCCCCAAGGGCTTTCCCTGCTGCTCCTCCTCCTCTCTCTTCCCTTTTGCCGATTTCCCTCCAAGGAAATTAACTTAGAAAGAAATGGGAGTGAGGGAGGGGAGATGCCAGGGATGTGGCTCCGTGACAGCGTTGGCCTCGCATGGGTGAGGCTCTGGGTCCCATCCCTAGCACTGCACAGAAAATCCTTAAAAGAGATGGATTGGCAAGATGGCTCAACAGGTAAGCCACATGAGCCTGGGGGGCAACCTGAGCTCAGTCCCTGGAACCCACGGAGGAGGAGAGGGACTCTATAGAGCTGTCCATGAGTTACGACACGCCTCACACACTAATCATAGTATTAGAATAAAACAGAAAAGGCAGTTCCTTCCCTGTGCGTTGCTTCAGAAGACTGGTCGCTGCTGCCTCCTTCACTGTTCTCCAAAGTCAGAATTCCTGTTCGTGACACTGTAAGCTGTCACTCTGTCCACCAACAGAGGTTGTCCCCAGCAGATACAGCGCAGTATGGACACAGATGGTCTTTTAACCAAACACTACACTTTACATTCTGGTTCTGAGGTTTGAAGAGAAATAACATTTCAGAAATAACAAGCTAGGCAGGGAAGCCTTCATCTCTAAAACCAGAAATGGTTTCAGGGTCCAGACATTTATTGTTGAAAAAGAATTTCCACCTTGAGTTTCTGTTCCAACGCAGTCATTTTGTTAGACTCCAGACTCTGCAGACCGACCGCAGGGCTTGAAGTGTGTGTACATCTCCTGTGTGTGTACGTCTCCTGTTCTCCACACAGGCTGACAGTTGAACAGAGCACACAGGGCTCTGGGCCCAGGCAACACAGGCTGGCTTTGAAAGGCTGGTTTCCTGTCTTCTACCACAGGAGCTTCTGCAGCCCTAAAAAGCAGGGAAGGAAGCTACTGCTTTAAGATGGGGCTGATAAGCCGGCTCAGCAGGTAGTGGAGCTTGCCACCAAACCTGACAACCTGAATTTGATCCCCTGGACCCACAGAGTGGGGAAAGACAGGACCAGTTTCCACTAGAGTCTTGCTTCCTTACACATCACACATCTCTCTCTCTCTCTCTCTCTCTCACACACACACACACACACGCACACAAAGTAAAAAATTAACAAGATTCAAAGATGTTCATTACTCAGTTTGCAACACCTTCAAAACCAAAATACTTGAAAGAATAGTGGCTTCATGAATGAGCATTTGCCAAGACGTGTGGTAGGGCTCTGGGTACCACCCCTAGAACCACACCCACATATGCAAATATATACACATGGCGTTAGAAAGGGTAAAAAGCGGCTGTAATCATGGAGTCTTCTTAAATCAGGGAAGTTTTAGGGGTGGGCAGAGAGGAGATCAAGCTACCCAGTCAGCCATCGGTGATGTTCTGAGGATCTTACCACGCAAGGACCTTACCTACCACACGGCCTAATTTGCCTTTCTCCTCAACCCACAGCTCATCTTCCCTGACTTGGTGGAGGGGCTGGTGTTGATGAACATTGACCCCAACGGCAAAGGCTGGATTGACTGGGCCGCCACCAAGGTGAGCACCAGGCCCACATGACCTGCCCCCCCACCCCCCAGCGGTGAGCTGAGACAGGTCTGACTCTGGCTCTCCCCTCCCCCTCCTGCAGCTCTCTGGCTTGACCAGCACTTTACCAGATACTGTGCTCTCCCATCTCTTCAGCCAGGTAAGCGGTGGATTAGACTGCATGTGGGGTGTCCTCAGGAGCAGAGGCTAGGGCTCAGCCAGCACGGGTCAAGCATGTCAAGCATTGCTGGGTCATAGTGCCCCTCTGAGGTGGCCTCTGGGAAGCCTCTCCACTCCTGAGGCACCTAGACAACTCCTGCTGGGAGCGGGACCAGGTTCCTCCCACATCCCCTCTCAGAGCCCTTTGCCCCTGCCCTTCTGCCTGTGTGTGCCCTCTCCCACCCTCTTGTGCCCAGGAGGAGCTGGTGAACAACACGGAGCTGGTGCAGAGCTACCGGCAGCAGATCTCAAACGTGGTGAACCAGGCCAACCTGCAGCTCTTCTGGAACATGTACAACAGGTGCGGGTGTCCCCATCCCCCATGGGAGGGCCTGGGGCAGGCAGCACCATCCCTCAAGTGTATAGATGAGCTGGTTCTGAAGTCTGAGAGGGTAGCTTCTTGGCAAGGGTGTGGCTTCCTCAGAGCTGAGGAGCGTAGGGGCATGCATGGACTCTGGTCACTGGTTCTTGCTCTTCTTTGCTGGGTGGAGGGTGTCAGCAGCACCCTTGCTGCCCCACTTCAGGACTGGGTGCTCAGTCCTGCACAACAGAAGGTCAGATTAGGCTGCAGGTTCCACACAGTGCTTTGTGGAAGCCCTTGGAAAGCTCTTCTGCAAAGGTAGCCCACCCTGCTGTATCTTTGCTCTTGCAAACTTTCAGTGAGGAAGCTCCTGCTGGAAAAGTGCAGTGACAAAGAGAGACCCAGGTGCCATATTTAGTCAGGGCCGTATTATGTGTGGTCCCAGAGCAGGGATGCACAGGACGGAAATGTCACATACCTGGGGGTTCTGGAGGGGGTCGAGATAGAGAATCCACACGAGCTTGTGTGTGCAGAGCAAGTTCAGGACAAGATGGTTCACCAGTTGGCAGTGTTGGGATCCACCCCTGGGATGCCCTCTTTACCTTTGCCATTCCCTCACAGCCGCAGAGACCTTGACATTAACCGGCCTGGGACGGTGCCCAATGCTAAGACACTCCGGTGAGTCACTCCTGCCCTCCAGCCAGTCCCTGCCTTTGCATCAAACCCAGGCCACATGACCCTTATCCTCTGTCTCCTAGCTGCCCGGTGATGCTGGTAGTCGGAGACAATGCGCCTGCTGAGGATGGGGTGGTGAGTGTGACTGTCCAGACCAGGGGAGGGAGGTTAGAGCCCGGAGTGATGAAGGAGGTTAGAGCAGAGAGATGAATTTCCCAGATCGTCATCTGGCACCTGGCTACGCGTTGGGGCCTGACCGCTCTGAAGAGGCCTGGAGAGTGGATGGAACTAAGGCTAGGACCAGGCTGCCTAGTGGTCTCTCCCCTCTCCCCACTTCTAGCTTAGAACCCAGGGTCTCCTCCTTCCAAAAGTGGACCCATAAGTAAGTCCTGGACATCAGTACTCACCTTGGAGACACCCAGGTGCTGACTATGGGGCAGTGCATATCACCACTTCCATTGGAGCCCTGGCAGCGGGCAGCCTCAGGGTGGGGGCCTCAGCACAGATGCCTGGATCCTGTGATGCCCAGGGGTGCTCAGAAGAGGAAGGCAGTGAGGGTAGAGCATAGGTTGCACCAGCCATCTAGATCCAGGCAGGACCTCCCCACCCCACCCCCTGCCATGTTGCCACCTGTCACCTAGTACCTCTGAACCTCACTGTCCAGATCATCTGGTCCATCCTGCTAGAGTGACCCTGGCCTTCTGGGTTAAACTCTTGTCCCACTTGAGTTTATGGCTGCAATTTCAGGCTCCTCAGACCAACAGGCCTCCAGGAACTCAGGAAGCCCTGGCAGGAAAAAGCCTGGGGAAGGAAGGCCTTGGTGGGGAGGGAAGGCCTTGGGCCTGTCCTTTCCTCCCTCCCCTCCCTGCTCTGGGTACAGAGCCTGCCTAAGCAGTGGAGCAGGGGTATTGTTGCAGCTGGCTCCTTGTCCCTAGGTTGAGTGTAACTCCAAACTGGACCCAACCACTACGACCTTCCTGAAGGTGAGACACCCCCACCCCGACCCCCACCCCATGCTCAGCTCCAGGGAGGGGTCTGCTGGACAGTACGGGATCAGGAGCGGTGTTTGCACAGCTCAGTCTGTTGAGGTGTTGGGAAGGGGCCCCTCAGCTCCCCCTGCTCTGTTCCTTTCAGATGGCAGATTCTGGCGGTCTTCCTCAGGTGACACAGGTAAGACTCCGGGGTCTCCTGCCTTTGTGTCACCCAGCTTGTTGGCAAGGTTGGGGGGTAAGGGTTCTCCATCCTCCCCACTAGTTCAGGGAGCTAATCAAAGCATGTTCTGTCCATCTGATTGCAGCCAGGGAAGCTGACTGAGGCCTTTAAATACTTCCTGCAAGGCATGGGCTACAGTAAGTATACCTCCACCCACCCCAGGCAGGGATAGGAACTCATTTCCCGTGTGCCAGGGAGTCTGTGGGTGAGTGTCACCTTTGTCACCTGGACCCCAGAGACTGGGATTCTCTCCCCAGCCTCTGCATACACCATGAGGTGTGTGTCCCAGGCCCAGCCAGCTTCTCTCTGCCTGGGTGGAGCCTTAGGCACTGTTCTAGCCCAGTGTGAGGACCTTTGGGAGAGAAGTCTTCCTCCAGCCCTTGAGGGTCCAGTAGCTGGGCTGGGTCCTTTTAGGGAAGCCTGTTTCAGATGAGTCGCCCATACCTATTGGGCTTAGGGTACCTCAAAGGCCCTTTGTCACAGTAGAAGTTTAGCGCTGAAGCCCATGGACTCTGGGACTAGAAGGGAAAGGGGACCATCTGGGTTTTAGCGCATCCAGAATTTTGGAACGAAGGCTGAGGCTCCTCCAGGAACAAGGGCTAAACCAACTTTTTGTCCTCCATCCTTCCTGGAACATTCCTTCAGGTAACAGTGATGAGAGACTCAGCCTATACCCATGAGCACTTAACACACACACACACACACGCACGCACACACACACACAATTCCAGTGGCTCCTGTGTGCCTCCTGGAACACACACACATACAACACACACAGACACACACGATTCCAATGGCTCCTGTGTGGCTCCTGGAACACACACACATACATACATACACACACACATGATTCCAATGGGTCCTGTGTCGCTCCTGGAACACACACACACATACACAGAACACACACACACATGATTCCAATGGCTCCTGGACCTCCAGTTCTCCTCTTTCCAACACACAGCTGCCAGGAGGCAAACGGTTCTCCCTCACTCTGGTGCCCTGCACTAAATACTTTAGCCTCTGGCGCTCACACCTCCTTGGGACAGCAAATAGGATATCCTTCCACCCTGCCAGCCTCTCAGGGAGAGAGGTAGAACAAAGAGAGGCACACACAGGCAAGGAGGACCAGCCGGAACACCATGCTGGGTCCCATGAACTCTTGGAGCTTGGTAGACATCTGTGAGGCCCAGAAGGAGCAAGAGTTGTGGGCACTAGAGCGTGTCCTTGGGCTTCAAGAGAACTGCACCAGGCATCTCGGGAGTCAGGGGCTTTGGGAGGTTGTGCGGGCCTCCTCCTCAGTCTGGGAGTGAGGGCTGAGAGCACTAGCCTAGGATATGGCCTTTGTGGGCCTAAGTCACAGCCTGGGCTGGAGACGAGAGAGAGTGAGAATCCCCAGACTGCAGGCAGGCCTGCTGTGTGGCTTCCATGCTGCTGTTAGGCTGGACTGTAGCGGACTCTCCGAGGTTAGCCCTGCCCTGGTTCTCTCTTTCTTGTCTGTCTCATCTTGGCCCATCTCTGCGCCCTCGGTCTGTCCCAATCTTCACCATGTTCTGTGTCTCCCCCACCCTTGTCCTCTCTGGCTGCCTTCTCTCAGTTGCACACTTGAAGGACCGAAGGCTGAGTGGAGGAGCAGGTAGCCCATGGCCCGTCTGCCGATGCATGGACACCCTGCCCCACCCTCCCCCGCTCCTCTGCAATGCTGCAGCCACACCGCGTCCTGCTGTGTGGTGTGGAACCTTCTCGTGTTCTGCTCAGCTCAAAGCCCCAGAGGATGCCTGTTCTTCCACAGACCCTGGTCTGCTGAGGGCTCTGTCCCATGTGGGACCCGATGCTGGCTGGTCTCAGAGCAGTCGTCTTGTTTCTAGATTACTGTAGGCTGTGGGGCTTCCAGAGCTTTGGGAGTTAGAGGCAGAACCTCGAACACAACACTAGGTTTGCCTTGCAGATATGATGTCTGTCCCCTGCCTGCCCAGCCTCTAGGTGGACTGGCCTTCTCTACAACAGTAGAAGCAAGATTCAGGGCAGTCTGGCTGATTGTGCCTTCCATAGAGGCAGTCCTGCTGCGGCCCCTCCACTCCTTCCCACCCCCAGTCATTCTTTGGCTGTAGGTCTAGTTGGCCACACAGTGTCTCCCTATCCCAGCTCAGGGTGCCTATAGACACCTGCCCTGCTCTGGCTGTAGCTCTGGGACCTAGGATCCTGCTGGCTGCAGCCTTTTTGGCCTGCTCACCTTTGCTGGCTGGCCCTGCATGCTTGGCCTGGTCTAGCCAGTGCCAGCACCTGGCTTGGGATGGGCCTCTGTGTGTGGCAATACTGGGTCTCACTGGCCGCTTTGCTTGCGTTGTCTTTTTTCCTGCCTGCTGGTACCCACCCTGCCTGTTCTCAGGACCTTCTCTGTTTTCGTTCACAGTGCCCTCAGCCAGCATGACCCGCCTTGCGCGCTCACGTACCGCATCCCTCACCAGTGCCAGTTCTGTGGATGGCGGCCGCCCTCAGCCCTGTGCCCACTCAGACAGCAGTGAGGGGATGGGCCAGGTCAACCACACCATGGAGGTGTCCTGCTGAAGCCCTCATCCTGCCCAAGATGCCCGCTTACCTGCCCCCAGGTCCCACTGCCGTCTCCGCACAGGCTCATCTACCCTTTAGTTTATTTTTGTGAGAGTGAAGGGAAGGAAATGGGGTTACTTCTCTTTTATTTAAAAAAAAAATGAGGGGATCCACCTTAGGACAGCACAGCACAACAGTCTTAGATGGTGTGAGGGGCTCACCTTAGACACTCCATCTCACTCAATGTGGTCACTGGTTGGTACGGCCCCTCTCTGCCCAGCTGGGGTGGCCAGGGTAGAGGATACAGTACCGAAGAAAGCACAGCCCACCCCGGGAGCTAGCAGACGTGGGGTTTGAAGATGGTGGGTGGAAGCCACAGCAGTGGAGAGCCTTGGACCTCAGAGTTACCTTTCCTGTAACCCTTACATAAAGCACACCTATTCTGATAATAGAGGTGACGGTCGTGAGGATGGTAGCCACAAGGGGGCGCTCTAGACAGCCATTTTCCTGGTGCTCTCTGGGCAGGCTGGTGATGTAAGGCCAGCCAGGCTGAAGAATATGGAGAACCCTGACATGGGGGCAGGAACCCCCATACTCTGCCACCATGGGGCCATGTGCCACCCTGAGGGAAAGGTCACCTGGTCTCTTACCCCTGTTGGCTGAGGTAGAATGTTGATTGCTTTGTATGCTGTGTGTAGTCCCTGAGAAAGTCACTATTACCCCTCCGGGAGCTGGCAGGTACTGTAGGTCTGTCCCTCTTGTCCCAGATTTCACCAAGTGTTTGTCACAGTACCCTGGTCAACTTGGGCCAGTGTGTCACAGACATTACTTGAGAATTGAGCTTGTTAGATCCAAGACAGAAAGATACAATGACCTCTGCTTGCTGGAGGGGCTGGAGATTGCCTAGTCCTTGGGTGGGAGATGGGCCATCCTTGAGGTGAACAACCATGTCTGCCATCTCACCGAGTGGACTCTCACAGCCCAGAGTGATGGTTTGAGCCTGGCGGTTGGTTTCACCCACTGTCAACCCTCCAGAGAGGAGAGAGCACTTATGTGGGGATATGGGAGAGGGGGTGATGTATGTGGTGGTATGTGGGTGTTCTGAGACAAGAGGATACCGACATCCATGTATCTGTGGCACATGCTGCCCCTTTCTGTAACTGTAAGCCATTTCTAGACTGCTCTGGAGTCCAATGGAGTGTATCCTATCCCCGGTTTTGTTCACTCACGTGCTTCCGTGAATACTGAATGTGACTGTTTAAAGCTGGTAGAATTAATCCCTTACTGTAGATAGCCCTTCAAGTACTGGACATCTTTTTGCTGTGTTCTTAAGATATCTATAAATACCTATACATTATATATATATATATATATGTATGTATGTATGTATATCAGGTCCTCCTGTATGTGGTTTTCCATTGATGGTTGTCTTCTCTTTGGTCAATATGAACTTTTAATGGAGTTCATTACTTTTCCTCTCTACAAAGAGCCTAATTTTGTGTATTCTGGTGGCTGATAAGAGACTTTGCGATTACAAAATGTAAAACAAAAATCCTTGATATAGAAAGTTAACTGTGCAGAAAAACCAATAAAGAAATTAAGTGTATGTGTGTCGTGTTTTCTGTCACAGGGAAGGCTGAACTGTTGAGGCTGCCTGGCTGCCTCAGGCTCAGATAGGTGAAGGATAGTAATCGTTTCTCTGTGTATCTCTATACCATCAGTGTCTATTACATACATTTGTGTTGGAGGAGAGTTGAGCAGTCTCATTCTGTAGCCCAGGCTGGTCTTGAATACTCAACAATCGTACTTTATTGTCCTTGGTGTTAGGATTGTGTAGGCCACTCTGGGTAACTTTTTTTTTTCCTTTTGGGGTGATAGAGATTGAACCAGGGTGTTCACACATGATGGTGATTGAGATATAATTTTACCAAACCTGACATGCTCTTTCACAGCTGAGCAGAAATCTTAGCCAGTAATACCTCTTCAAAGCAAGGGCACACCACTTTTTATTTGCTTGGCTTTAGTTGCTTTGGGATATGGGATACTCTGTTGCCTGGCTTGCCAGGAACTCCCAGTAGTCCCCAGTCTCAGCCTCCCAAGTACTGGAATTAAACTGGCAAATTCTCCATGTTACCATTATTCATTCACTTGATATTGTATCAGCTATTTTTTTTAAAAAAAGTAAAATGTAAGGTTCTATCTTACGCAGAAGGTGAAAAACAAAAGTTAATTAGTCTCCCTCTCTCCGTCTCCTCTCTCGGCCACTACCGCACCCCGCTTTCGGGGACACGGCCAGAACTAGGGTGGAGGCAGCACAGAACTCGCCGGTGTGCTCGCGCACGCGCGATTCCTAAGGAGCCGTTCAGCAGGGACGCGGAGCTCCGCCCCATCCGCTCGCGTCCTGCGGCGCCGGAAGCGCAGTGAGGACGCGGCTGCTCGCAGCATGGCGGCCCCCGCCAAGCGCGCACGGCTAAGTGGCGGGTCGCCCCTCGCCGCGCCCTGCCCCTCCCCGAAAGCTGCCCGCGCGCCCCGGCCGCTCCCCGCGGGGCCCAGCGGCGGCGAGCCCGAGGGCGATGCGGTGGCCGACTTCCTGAGCTGGTGCACGCGGGTAGGGTTGCAGCTGAGTCCCAAGGTGATGGTGAGCCGGCAGGGCACGGTGGCCGGCTATGGCATGGTGGCGCGGGAGAGCGTGCAGCCCGGGGAGCTGCTGTTCGCCGTGCCGCGCTCCGCGCTTCTGTCTCCCCACACCTGTTCCATCAGCGGCCTGCTGGAGCGAGGTGGGTATGGGGCAGGGGACTGGCTCTGAGGCTGGCAAGGGAGTCGCGCTTGGACGTTCACCCGGTGTCTTCCCTAGAGCGAGACGCGCTGCAGAGCCTGTCGGGGTGGGTGCCGCTGCTGCTGGCGCTGCTCCACGAGCTGCAGGCCCCAGCTTCACCCTGGAGCCCCTACTTCGCGCTCTGGCCAGAGCTGGGGCGTTTGGAGCATCCCATGTTCTGGTGAGAGCCGAGGGAAGGGCCGGGAAGAACCGGTTTCAATTACTTTGCTCTGGTTGGGTACCGGCAGGCTGTGAAGGGCTCTGGGTGGGCTGTCCTTGCAGGCCGGAGGAAGAGCGGCTGCGCCTCCTAAAGGGTACAGGTGTCCCAGAGGCCGTGGAGAAGGATTTGGTGAACATTCGTAGCGAATACTATTCCATCGTCCTGCCTTTCATGGAGGCTCACTCCGATCTCTTCAGCCCCACTGTTCGCTCCCTGGAACTCTATCGCCAGCTTGTGGCCCTTGTGATGGCTTATAGGTGAGTGATGAAAGCCCAGAGGAGGAGCAGACCCTCATCTTTGAGGGGGAAGTTGGGAAAGAACAGTCAACTCCAGGTCCCTCACCCAAGACTGGGCCTTAGCTGAGTTCTCTCTGCGGCAGCTTTCAAGAACCGCTGGAGGAAGATGATGATGAAAAGGAGCCCAACTCCCCCTTGATGGTGCCTGCTGCAGACATACTAAACCACATAGCCAATCATAATGCCAATCTAGAGTACTCTGCAGTGAGTGGACCCCTATCCCTCCCTGGTCAGGTTGTGTGCATTACAAGCCAAGTCACTCTGCTCCAGTTTCCCACTTATGGTGAAAATTCGGTGAGATTAGCTACTCTCCTGTGTACTTTTGGTGTCGAGTTACGAGATAGTGTGGACAAACTCTAAGTCCATCAGAATAGCCGCTCTGCCATGTCACCTCAGGCCCTGTGGAGAGCATCGTGGGACAGCAGTAGTTCAGTACTATTCAAGAGGTAGGATGTTCCTGGGCCAGAGGTATAGTAAGGCAGCACTTTAGTGTCGGGTGTGATGTAAAAATTGGCAGATGAGCCTTGTGGCTTACACCTGTATCTTAGGAGGCTGAGGCAGGATAGAAGATTCCAGGCCCAATGCTTCCAGTTTTAGTCTATACGTGTCAAACTTTGTTCTCCAGTGTCAGAAGATCTTTCACTCATTCTTTGCCTCCATTTCTATTTTGACGTGAGGTTTGGCTTGTTCTGTTTTTGAGACAAAGTCTTAACAGTATAGCACTGGCTAGCCCAAGACTCAAGAGGTTTCCTCCTGAAGGCCTGTGTGTTGTTTTTGGTTTTTTAGCTAGTGTAGGTAACTAGGCAGATACCCCTAACATACTAAGCTGACCTCTAAAGTTGGTTTCACTCCCTTCAGTAATACAGGGCCTAACAGTAGACAAATGGTCTGTGGCCTCAGCCCACAGTTCAACAGGATCTTTCAAGAGGGAAGTGGTCTTCATAGGCTGGTGAGGGCTGGGTTGTGATCCCAGCTCTATCCTTTTAACCCAGGATTCTCTCCGGATGGTGGCTACTCAGCCCATTCTTGAAGGTCAGGAAATCTTCAACACATATGGACAAATGGCTAACTGGCAACTGATTCATATGTATGGTTTTGCTGAGCCCTATCCTAACAACACAGATGACACAGCTGACATTCAGATGGTGACGGTCCGAGATGCTGCACTGCAGGGTGCGTCTGCCCATCCCAAGTTCTGTATACCTCTGACAGCAGTCGCCTAGCTGGAGTTGATGTCAGCTATCTCTATCCAATATTTTATAGGGACAAAGGATGAAACTGAAAAGCTGCTCTTGCATGAACGCTGGGATTTCTTGTGCAAACAGGAGATGGTAGGGGAAGAGGGAGCCTTTGTGATAGGTTGTGAGGAGGTGCTGACTGAAGAGGAGCTAGCCACCACACTTAAGGTACAGGGCTAACAAGGTATGGGGTGTTGGTATTTAGAATAAAGATAAGGGGGACCTAATTTTCCTACAGTGGCATGTATGTCCTATCCTGAAGCGCACAGATAGTAGCACATCCCAACTAAACTGCCCGAGTTCCTTCTAGGTCCTGTGCATGCCTGCTGAGGAGTTCAGAGACTATAAAGAGCGGGCTGGATGGGGAGAGGAAGAGACCGAAGATGACAGTCTGGCAATCACAAATATCCCCAAGCTCCGAGAATCATGGAAACAGCTTCTTCGAGACAGTGTTCTGCTGACTCTACAGACCTATGCCACAGACTTAAAAACTGAGCAAGATTTACTCAGTGATAAGGAGGTCTATGCCAAGCTGAGCTGGCGGGAACAGCAAGCCTTACAGGTCCGCTATGGTCAGAAGGTGATTTTACATCGGTTGTTGGAACTCACAAGTTAAGCAGGTTTCCTTTAAGCTTGGGAAGGAAGGAAATTGGGGACTTTTGCCATTAGGCAGTCAGAATCAAAGGAAAGTAGCTAAAGGTAAGCTTGAACTGGCATTTTTGGATTGAGGTCAGCAGACTTAAGAACCCATCAGACGTTTTACAACTTAATAAATATGGACTAAGTTCAACTTAGAAAGCTTGAACGTCTCAGCTTTCTTTAGCACATTCCCCGTGAAGTGCGACAGAATTTTACTGGATTGGCACTCTTATCAGTGGCCTGAAGTTGACTCTTGGGGTCACAACTCACCTTTCCAGGACAAATTATAAGTGGGATTGTTTCATACCAAAACAAAACCCCCCACACCTAAAGAAGGTTTAGATATGTTTAACTGCACAGATTTTCTTGCTCCAACAGCTTCCTCCAGTTGACACAGAAATGGTGTATAAAAATGTCCTTACTGGGAACGGTTGTAATATGCCAGTGAGGTAAGAGACAGATAACTTGGGCTATACAGTAGCAGGACCCCCCAAAAAATCAAGTAGTAATAGGAAAATCTGGTCATTAAGTGACTATTATTTCCCAGTTGACTGGGCTGTCCACTTTTATCACCAGCACTGGCTGCTGCTGAGAAAGGCACCGTGGATTCACATGCATGTCATGACTTTAATGTTTACCGTCTTCACACATACATGAAAACTGATTAAGGCCCAGAAACTACAAATGCTACAAAATATAACATGGGCTCAGCTGTTCATGGAACATTTTTGATCCTGATACTGATCCTTACAAAAAGCAGCAGCTGTAGTAGTCCTTTTGACTCTTGTTATATTTAAAGAGGCTATGCAGCCTAAGCATGGTGATGCAGAACCCCAGACCAGAGATGGTTTCCTCTTTGGGTGTGTTCTCCCTTAGGACCACAGAGCAGGTCAACTACTTTCCAAAGGCAAGCAGAACCTCCTGGGTCTGTCTAGTCTACACTTTTAAGTGGGTGTTTAAGCTTTCCTAGCTACATGAAGTTGCATGAATTCAATGTTTTGCTATTCTTTGGAATGCCACGGATGTCAGACATGCTACTAGGCCCTGAGACAAGAGCATGCCAACAACTGCCTCTGTTACAAGGTAGTTTACAAACATACTTAAGACACACTTTGCACAAACCCAAGAAGTTCCAGACAAAAGTTTTCTCTTTCATATATTTACACAAGTTCAAAATGATATTCACAGCATCTTCTAAATTTTGGCCAAGAGTCAAAAAAAAAATGCATTTAAACTTTGGAACTTGCCCACATAGACAGGAGACCAACCCCAGCAGTTGATGGGGCAGACGCCTGAGAACCAAAGGGCTAGGAAAGTCAGGAGGAGCTGCAAGGATGCTTCAGTTTATGAACTTGGTTCAGTGGGACCAAGGCTGATGCCTCTGCAAGGGATACACAC